TCCTCGCCCCGCCCCCTCAGGCTCTCGGTCCTCTCTCCGCAGTCGTGGAGATGCTGAAGGCGCTGCACGCGCTGCAGAAGGAGAACCAGCGGCTCCAGGAGCAGATCCTGAGCCTGACGGCCAAGAAGGAGCGGCTGCAGGTTCTCAACGTGCAGCTCTCTGTGCCCTTCCCCGCCCTGCCTGCCGTCCTGCCCGCCGCCAATGGCCCTGTCGCTGGGCCCTATGGCCTGCCTCCCCAGGGTAAGGGGGCGCACCCAGCCCGCGAGTGGGGGCCTGTGCCGGGCGGCAGGCACCAGCTCCGATTCCAGGCCTGACCGCCTTCCCTGATCCCCCCCACCCCTCAGCCGGCAGCAGCGATTCCTTGAGCACCAGCAAGAGCCCTCCCGGGAAGAACAGTCTGGGCCTGGACAATTCGCTGTCCACGTCTTCGGAGGTGGGCACCGGTGGACACCGGGAAGGGCCGGAGAGGGGAGGCGCAAGGGCCTCCTGGTCCCACCTCCACCCTGCAGCCATTGGAGGTTGAACAATGGAGTGATTGGCAGAGCAATGAGTTGATTGATCCTTTCATTCCTTCATTAGATAAGTCATAATTATGAGGTTTCTACTTAATGCCAGGCACTGGCAAAGCAATTAGTGAGCAAAACGGACGCGGCCCTGCTCCTGAAGATAGGCTAAATCCAAGAAAACAGTCCATAATTACAAGCCGGGGAAAGATGCTAAAATGGAAATGATTTGAGGGCTGTGAGGAAGAATGGGGCTGGGATTCTTCTGTAGATCTACGGTGGGCAGGGAGGCCTCTGTGAGAAGGGTTTGTGACGGGTTCATTACAGTGCCTCCCACAGAGAATTCCTGTGTGATTGGCGGTGGTTGGGGAGGCAGTGACTCGTTACGTTGTGGTTATTGAAATCAAGCAAACTAGTTTCTTGTTCTCTCTGCCACTGACTGTGTGACTTGGGCAGTAATAATCACCATAACTAATATTAACTGCATATATGCCCTTTGTCATGTCCGGTGCTGAGATTTTTAAAGCATCGGTTTGTTTAGTCTTCTCTGTGGGATAGGTACTCATGGAATAGGTACTGTGTTACCCCCATGTAATGAATGAGTAAACTGAGGCAGAGAAGCCACCCGAGCCATTGAATTGTGGACGTAGGGTTTGAACTGAGCCTGTCACCCTAGCTGTCTACAAAGCTACTTAGTCTAAGACTGTAGAGGGGAGAACGAGATAGTGCAGGACCCCGAGTCTGGCTTACTAGATTCTCACCACCGTCATTGATGTTTAGTATTAAACAAGGATGGTGGGTGCTGGCCCCCAGGCAGTGGTCTGTAAACGTGATTTGTGAAGACATTTAGGATTCTTAGCCTTAACCCCTGGGCCTTGCTTCTTCCTCCTGGGTGGCTCTGCCTGGGGGTGAGGTGGGGGTGGCTGTGCTCTCTCAGGATGTTGGTGGGTGCTGGGCTGGGGGCCAGAAATGTCACGCTGGCCCCCTGCCCCTCTGACCCCTCCCTTCCCCCTCCCTCCCCAGGACCCACACTCAGGCTGCCCGAGCCGCAGCAGCTCGTCGCTGTCCTTCCACAGCACGCCCCCACCGCTGCCCCTGCTCCAGCAGAGCCCTGCCACCCTACCCCTGGCCCTGCCTGGGGCCCCTGTCCCGCTCCCAGCCCAGCCACAGAATGGGCTGGGCCGAGCACCTGGGGCAGCGGGGCTGGGGGCTATGCCCATGGCTGAGGGGCTGTTGGGGGGACTGGCGGGCAGCGGGGCCCTGCCCCTCAATGGGCTCCTGGGGGGGTTGAACGGGGCTGCTGCCCCCAACCCTGCAGGCTTGAGCCAGGCTGGTGGGGCCCCCACGCTGCAGCTGCCAGGTTGTCTCAACAGGTGAGGGAAAGCTTAGCCTGGGGAAGGGAATGGGGAGGCTGGCTATTGGGAGGGACTCCCCCAAACACCCAAGGTCCCCCAAAGGGGAAAGTGTCCTCCAACCACACAGAATTTAGTCACCTCTTGGCCCCAGGTACTCCCTAGATGTTAGTTGTGAGTGCCCTTTGGATGGCAACTTTCTAGGACAAGGCTGTCTCTTTCTTGTACCCCAATCTAGGTTTTCCTTCTGGGGAAGTTCCATCTAACTTGTCTCCCGCTGTACTCTCTGAGCTCAGTCTGTCTCTCTCTAGTCTAAAGTCGCACATCCCTGCCTCTCTCCACCTGGGTCTGAGGAGTCTGGGAACTCGTGGGAGGGGTGTTTCCCTGTCCCTTCCCATGGTCTGTGTTTTGTCCCCCTGCCTCAGCCTAACGGAGCAGCAGAGACACCTCCTGCAGCAGCAAGAGCAGCAGCTCCAGCAGCTCCAGCAGCTCCTCGCCTCCCCACAGCTGACCCCGGTAAGGCCCTCCTTTACCAGGCCCTTCCCCAACCCCCACCCCTCCCCCAGCTCTGCTAGAGGGGCCCATGGCAGAGGGTCTGGGGAGGGAGAACAGCTCCAGGCTGGGCTGACAGTGCACCTGTGGGACGGGAGCATCCTCTATGAGAGCAGGTCTAGAGGGTGGCAGGTCCTCAGTTATTGAGCATTTCCAATCCCGGCCCCAAGGATCTTCAGGGGGAACCTCAGAGTGTGTGTGGAGAGGTGGCTGAGCAGGTGGCACCCCTCAACCAGAGCAGCCCCTTTTGGGTCTGCCTTGTATGTTGGGCTCTGCCAAGGTTTCCCTTCAAAAAGGAGGGAGCTGGAACTGTATAAACAATAGTCATTTTCACATAAAGAAACATTAGAAAGAGACACAAGAAACCAATTCAACTGGGTATAAGGGCCAGATGGGAACGGGTAGGAGCAAGATTTCCTAAGGTAAACCAGGATATATTGTTTTGCTTTTCAGAATACTTGAAAATGCTTTGCATTCTCAAAGCAAAAATCAATGAATCTTACATTTAAAAAGGCAAACAAAAAAGAGGGGGAGTTGAACACTATTGACCTAGTTTAATGTTTCTCAAGTTGGGGTCGTACCACCCCTGGGAGCATTTGTTGTTGTCGCAGTGACTGAGGAACTGGCTTGAGCGGGGCGGGGCGGGGCCGGGGATGTCGAACACCCTGTGGTTGGCCAGTAGTGCCCCACTTGACCAACACTGACGGCGTGCAACCACTTTCTTGTCCAGATGGGGAGACTGAGGCCCAGAGTGGGGAGTTAGAGACAAGAGAACCTTGACCATCTCCTGCCTCCACTGTGAGGGGATGGGGCCTGGGCCAAGCAGGGCAAGTTGGCCTCGGGATGCACTGGCCAATGAGCGGTCTGGCCTACTTGCAGGAACACCAGACCGTTGTCTACCAGATGATCCAGCAGATCCAGCAGAAGCGGGAGCTGCAGCGGCTGCAGATGGCCGGGGGCTCTCAGCTGCCCATGGCCAGCCTGCTGGCAGGAAGCTCTGCCCCCCTGCTGTCTGCGGGCACTCCTGGCCTGCTGCCCGCAGCATCTGCCCCACCCCTGCTGCCCGCAGGAGCCCTGGTGGCTCCCTCCCTCGGCAACAACACAAGTCTCATGGCCGCAGCAGCTGCTGCCGCCGCAGCAGTAGCAGCAGCAGGCGGCCCTCCAGTCCTGACGGCTCAGACCAACCCCTTCCTCAGCCTGTCGGGGGCGGACAGCAGCGGCAGTGGCCCCAAAGGAGGGGTGAGTAAGGGGGCTGGGGCTGTCCTGTCTTCCTGCTCTGGGATAGGCAGCATCAGAAGGTCCACCATCAGGTGCATCATAAGAAGGAGGAGGAAGTGACCCCTAGGTCAGCAAAGCACCCTGCTCCAGACCCCAGGGCCTCTGCAGGCACATGGGTTCCCTCCTGCAGATCCAAGAAAGATGCGCTCTGAGCATGCGCTAATAGTAAAAGGACCAGTTAGGAAGCAGCATTCCTCTGGGAGGACCAATTAGAAAAGGCTATTTCCTCTCTCAGTAGAGATGATGCTCTGGGTGGGTCTTTCTGGAAATGCCCACTTATGCCACTCTGCGGGCATAAAGACAGCATGGGTGCTGGCTTTGGCTGGAGCATGCCCGCCTAGCCAGGCACCCTTGTGCAGAGCACACTCCCCTTCTCTCCCCCCCACCCCCTACCCCCCCACACGCACAACACATTGTTGACTTTGATGTATACCCACCAGAGCCCAGGTCAGGAACTTGAGCTGGGCTCCCTCACTGCACCTTTCAAAAGCTTTCTTAACCCAAAGAGCTGTTCTCAGCTGGGTGTTAGGACCAGACACCTCCCAAACCCCCAGCCTCCCTTCCTCTCTTTCCAGACCGCTGACAAAGGAGCCTCAGCCAGCCAGGAAAAAGGCTAAATCCATCCACACCCCTCCTGACCCCCACAGTGGAGGGGGCAGTCCTGGCTTGAGGGGGTCCTAGCCTGGAGCAGGCACCTGCGCCCAGATCCTGGAGAGTCCCAGCCCAGAGCACGTGCTGAGACCTGAGGAGTGTGGGGTGCGCCTGGTGCTGAGGACTGAGACCGAGGGGGGCGCTCCTTCTCTCTGGCCCCTTTCCCCTCTGCAGAGACCCTTTGTGAGGGGCTCAGAGGGAGGACGGGCTCCAAGCTGACCTAGGAGCCCCTCTCAGCAAACGTGTTGAGGTCCTCCAGGGAGCACAGTGGGCCACGGCATAAGTGGGGGGTTGGTTGGACCCACCACATAAAATGGATCAGCACTTGATGGGACAGGTCCTGGGCCAGCCCCTGCGCAGAAATCTGTTAAGAAAGAAGGGGTGGCCCTACTGGACCTGCAGTTTCTTCCCAACTTGGGCAGATGGCAGGAGGGATCCCTTAGACTGTTTCTCACCTGTCTTCTTCCCCTGCCCCCCCCCCCCCAACAAGGGTCACAAGCTGAGCTTGTAAAAGCCCACAGACTAGGAGGCTGAGGAAGGGGCAGGATGGCCTCAAACTCAGCCCAAGCCTCCCCACCTCTGGGGGAAGCCCAATGATGGGTTGGGGAGCGGAGGCCCAGCCCCCTGGGTGCCCTGCCCCTTTTTGCACTATTGGATATTGGATTTAGGAGTGCCGAGGGTGGGGAGATGGAGTTAGCTGCGTGTGCGTGTATGTGTGTGCGTGTGTGTGTGTACACGTGTGTACGTCTGTCTCCCCCGACCTGGGGCAGCCGAGGACAGGGATAGGAGCAGTGCTCAGAAGGGGGGCTCCCAGCTCTTGTTTGCACCCTCACCAACTTTGGTCCCTTTCTGGGGCATGCGTGGTTAACAAAAATCAGAACAGTACTCCAATATTGGAGAGTAACTGGGGGCTGAGGGCTTTGAATCAGGGTAAATCCTGCCTTCCCTTCCCCAGCTCCCTCATGGTCTTAGTGCCCCCTCAGAGCTCCCCTCCCTCCACTATAGTTGGTCCTGCTTCCCTGGCACAAGGGGAGCCCCAGGGATTGGGGGACAGAGCAAGGGAGGGTCAAGTGCCACTTCCTTGTGTGAAGACCTCCCTCCCAGAACTAGCCAGCCTACTTCCTGCACCAGACCGCCACCTCCACCAACCAGGGGAGACTTACGCTTAAGCTGACCTACAACTGTCCCTTCACCCACCAGCTCTTTCCCCTCGGGGTATAGTGGGCAATGCTTAGATTCTCACCTGATGGAGTCCCCACCTGCCCAGAGCCTTTGGTGGCAAAGGCCTAGGAGCCAGTGGGACAGCCAGGAGAGGGGCAAGGTTGAAGCCTGTGTCTGTTTCAGTTGCACTGGGGTTGGAGCCAGGAGAAGGCATTTCCAGCTTTCCCTGATGCTCCTGTCTTGTCAGTCTCTTTGCATGTGTGGATGTGTGTGTGTGTGTGTGTGTGTGTGTGTGTGTGTGTGTGTGTGTATGTTCCTGTTTGGGTTTTTGTTGTTGGGTTTTTTTTTTTTTTAATAAAGAAAAGAAGATGTGTATATTTTTGGCAATGACAGAAACGTAGTGCAGATATATTTTTGCCTGTGCTGCTCAACTGGTTTTTTTCTGATACTGAAAATAATATTAATATTACTGTTGATAAGACTTTGTAATATGTTAGGGAGCTGATAATGGAGGGGGTGGGTGGGAATCCTTCCAAGGCAATTTCTTAGGCCCTTGCAAGGGCTTGGGGGGGGGAGGGGTGGCAGTTGTGATGACCTCAGAAATACTCACTTTTTATTAATGCTAAATATCAGGAAGAAATGATAGAATTCAGCATTGTATTAATCTTCATCTGTTAAGCTATCTAACTCCCTGCCCCCAAATCACTGAGAAGAAAAACAACTTTTTCAGAGATTCTTAGAAGAGTTGTTCATTCACACCCACGCCCTTGCCGAAGGCCAGCCCACGGAGAGCTGAAGTCCACTTCTGTTCTGGATGGCGAGGGATAAATCCCCCAAGGCTGCTGTGGGGGAGAGAGGTCCCATGATTTAGTGCACTGGAACCAAGACCTCCTCCTCCCTCCCCCACCCGGGAGTCTGGGGTTCTCACCTCCGAGAGTCTGTGTTTTCCAGCTTTCCCCCAGGCGGGCACAGCAGTGGGTAGTCAGGTTAGGTTTGAAGATGGGACCTGGGCTGGTGCTGTCCCCCCATTGGGGATGGGAAGGGGCTGGAGAGAGGTAGTACCTTTTCATCGTTTAGGGAGCTTTATCATAAGAAAGGCCTAGAGATCTTCAGGAAGGAGCAGGGTCCCAGTGTGTGTGGGGGGGATGGTTATACTGACCTAACCTCAGTCCTCTTTCCAGGGAATTTGGATGGGGAGTGGGAAGGGATGCAGATTTGTAGAGCACTCTGTCTAGGGGAGGCGGGGCGGGAAGGATGTGGTTTGCAGGGCGGAAGTGGAGTTTGAAAATGCATGCAGGAGCTTGTGTGTCATCACCCTCAGCGTGGAGATGCGAGTGGGGTGTGCATGCAGAGCCGCTGTCTGGCCTCGGGGTCACAACTGGCGCATGAGTGTCAGGACTGGAAGGGACCTGTCTTTAGGGGTCATTGGAGCCAGATGCTCACTTCAAAGGTGATACCTCCAAGCCCAGGAGGGGCAGGGGCTCTGGCAGAGCCAGAACCAGCCCTCAGGACACTGGCCTCCTGGTCCTCCCATCTCCCCCTCCACTGCACCACCTCCACCTGGCTTCCTGGCTGTCCTTGTGTATGTGATGTACGGTGTGAGTGCAGGGCTGTGCCGGGGGTGGGGGGTGGGCGGGGTTATCTGTGTAGCACTGACTGTCTTAGCTCAGAGCTGATGGATCCTCTCCACGGACAATGACACTTTAAACGTTGCTTTTAAAAAGATTTTCCTGTGTGCGAGTTTTTTCCCTCGGGCTCATGGGTCTACTGCTCCCTCCAGGTGCCCTTACCTTGAGGCTGATGAGAGCGCCCCAGCCATTCCTGTTCTGAGTTCCTGGGAAGTACTCCTAGGAAGAGCCCAGACACGTGAGGGGCCAGCTCTGAGGAAGGGCGATCTTCTCCACACTTCTCTTTCCCAAGCTAGAAATGCAGACAAGTTTTCAAAGGCACAGCCTCTTCCCGCCAGCTTCCAGCATCTTCCTTGGTGTGCGGTAGGCCAGTTAGGGGTAGGCAGCTTCCTCCCATTCTCCTTTATCCCAGCTTACTTTCCTGGGGAGACGTGTCAGGTGGGATTTAAGTCTCTTCAGTTGGGAAGCTGGGACCCAGCACCCTGACCCCTACAGTCACACCCACCAGACTACAAGTGTCTAGTCTAGCTCCTGACCACTCTGACTTGATCTACTGAGAAGTTGGGGACTGAGGGGCGCCTTCATTGCCCTTTGTTTGCTTCCTCCAGCCCAAGGTGGGACTTAGGTGGCAGGACTTGAGACTTCAACCTTGACCTCCCCCACCCCCATTCCATCCCAGCCTATCTCAGCGTAGCAGACCCTTCCTAGGGGAGCAGGAAGGGGAAGCCATGGTTTGCAAACCCAGGGCTCCTTTTTCATTCTTTCTAAAACCTCCTTTATAT